TGTTAAATCTACAAAATGTTTGTTATATAATTACAAAGTACTTATTCAATTAGTTAACAGATTACAGTTGGTTGTAAACTTTACATAAAGTTATGTGGACCTGGATTAACATAAAATCTAGTTAACATTTGGTTAAAATTAACAAATATTATTTTAATGTGTATTTTTACAAAAGCTTAAAATTTATGGTATCAGAGTCAAACCATTGTATATTTTTAAATCTTACCTTAATAACTAAAAATAACATGTCTTTGTAAATAACTGTCTCTCTGAAGTTGAATTTATACCATACGTTGTTTTCCAAAGGACCCATAATGGGATCTGTTTTTTATAGTATACATTAATTACTTTTTTTTTAATTTTTCACCCAAAAATACTGTGGCTTTCGCAGACGATGTCACAATGATAGACTCAAATAAGGATTTGGATTCACTGATGCGGTCCGCTAAAGAATCCAGAGCTTTGAGGTAAATGCCATAAAAATATGGTTACAACAATGGTTATTTTTTTAAATCTGTGTAGGATGGTTAAAAAACCATATCATTTTCTAAAAGGGCAGCTTAAAGAAATCGAAAACTAATCTCTGGTACACTGTTCAAAATTTCATGACCATTTTAACACCAAATTAACACCAAACATGGTCTATATCGATTCAAACCAAAATGGTGTTTAATAAGGTTCGTTGGTCCGGTGTAAATTTAAATACTAAAATGGTGTTAATTTAACTTTCACACAGTATTAAAATAAATTTTACTTGGTGTAAATTGAACAAGGAGTGTTAAATATTATGTGTTTGTGGACAAATTAAAGCATACTACACAGAAAAAAGGAAAAAAAGGAAACAGGAAGTTCCTTGACGCATTACTAGTATATTACCAGTGGTATTATTCCAGAAAATGGAACCTTCAACTCGCTAGAGATAATGTTTTTAGTGCCTTGCACTAACTTAAAATACTTCAAGTATTGGCAGCTGTTTCCACCTATTTAAGGTCTCTTTAGTATCGAACAACTTGTAGTGTCACACCAAAGCAAAGGATTACCTGAGTTTATATATTCTTCATGTAAGTCAACAGAGGCGAGATTTAAGAACATCACGTGATCCACACCGCCTTTGCCGCGATCGGTACACATTTTCAACCATAATTCATGGTGTTATATTAACACCACTTGGTGTTGGATTTTGACACCATTTTAAGATTACTTTTTACACCACAGATATTTTAAACAGTGTATGTTAAATAAAGTTGCGGTAATTTACACCGCGCCGCGCTTGGTGGAGGGTTGAATTAACCACGCGTGTCAACCATTATCAACCTTAAAAAATTGCATTTTGACCGTTATACTGTCACAACCAAAAGTTTTGTCCCAAACTTAAGTGGAATTAAGATATTTTACGCTTAAAAAAATTAACAAAGTAAGCTATGGTCAATTAGTTGAAAAATTGTTCCACTGCTGGAAGAATGAAAAAGAAGAAAAAAAAGAAAATAATTATTGTGAATAATAAATTACAGCAATTTTTACATACTAATGATACATACTTTAATAAATATGATTTTAAACATTGTTCATATATTTGGAACGAAATTTTACTTCTATTAAATAATTTTCATTGAAGAAATAAAAAATAAAAGGGGAATAATTTAATTGGGAAAAAGATGTTATAACATCTGTCAAAAGAAATTAACCTCACTTTTTTCCAATTAAATTATTAACTATAGGTAGTACAAGACAGATTACTATAATAATGTTGAAATGTGTTTTTTTGTTTATTTGATTGTAAGACATGATCGTTAAGAATCGACCATTTTCCCCACTCGTTGCACATTATATTATATTATATAACTAAATTGACCCAAATTAAATGCATTAAACAATGAATAATATAACGAATAATATGACGTTAAAGTTTAAAAATAAACAAAAAGTTTGCTACTTGTACATAAACAGTCATATTAGTAATTATCCATAGATTTCTTTCAAAAATACCTTGTTTTCCTTGCAATTGCGGACTCGAGCGATATAATTCCAAAATGGGAATATTTCGATAATTTTTATTAATTCTTAGAAAAGGTGAATGTTGTATTTTTATTTTTGTCAAAAAACATTACAACTTTTTAATATTTAGGCCCATTGCACATAAACTTATCAACTTATTGGGCATTAGTAAAGTTATATTCGTTGGCCAGTGTATTATGTTTAATTTGACACCTATTGCAAGTTGCAACCAGATTGGCCGTTTCTAAGTAGGGATATAACCCAGCTGGTTTAAAAAAAATTCAAAATGTAAAAGAAAAATATATACATTTTTAAATTTATTTGCAAACCATGATAACACTGCTTTGTTATTGAAACGGGATTCAGTTCTATGTACCCCAGATAAAATATTGGTCCTATATGGGGCGCGTCTATGCCCAATATTTTATCTGGGGCCAATATTGAATTTATTTAGCCGATGTTAGCCCTATATTGGCATTAAATGATATTTACATTCTATTTTACTATTGTAGAGACCCCTGAAGATGGTTAGTAAAAACCGAAACTAGTCGGGTTTTTTAAATAAAAAACAATAAGCAGAGAGGTCTATTATTTCATAAACATTCAATCAACCATCCTTATTGTTTAGCAAAAATGGGTGAAAATAATAAAGGCCATTCTTGCATATTACTGTTATTAGCAATAAAATTCGTTATTACGTTAATAAAGCTGAAGCTGATCATTTTAGCACACGATACCAACGATTTTAGCATTTCATCGTAATTAAGAATAACATAAATACACGACTTGTCTTATTGGTAGATTTTTTCAAAGAATTTGGAGGGTACATTTTATATCAAGTATCCTCCTCTCCCCCTCATCATTTGGGTGGGCATTGTCATCCGCCCTCCCCCGCTTCTACGCCCCTAAGTACTATAAACATTTCCTGAAAACAAACGTTTGTCGACACGATTGTGACATATCACTTTTAGAAATCCTACTACGTAGTAAGTACTAGGTGGCTATCTTTTTTTTCTTCCAATTTCTCCCTCAACTTTCCTAGAATAAAATGTAAAACAACTTCGGGCCAATATTGGACCATGCTAGAAAAAATCTGACGAAAGATATTTTTGCCCAATGTTATTACGAATATTGGGCCAATATCTTTGTGCTACTGGGGTAGGTACTAACAAAAAACTTTATCAATGCGAGATGCAACAAGCTTTAAATATCTCTGAATATCTTCGAGAGTTTTAATTTGAATCTGATTGTAAGGGAACCAATTTTTTTTATTTTGCCTATCTATCTCCAAGCACAATTCGATATAGTCTTTTATACCTTGTCCTTGGGTACGAAACCTAACAAAATTGTTTTTTTTTTAAATAATTAAATACTAAAAATCATGTGGACATTTTTAGTTCATTTTCATTTTCAAGAGTACTGCTATTTTTATGAGACACGATTAATGATGTATCATCCGCATAACATTGGTTAAGCAGTTCCCTTTAAGATTGAATTTTTTAAAAATTCTAAAACTATATACCTATGATGTTTTTATGTTATTTGTATGCTTTATAGAAACATAATCCATTATGTTATCTAAAAAATTAAGCATCTACGTAGTTCTGTTTTATTCCAATGGAAAAAACACTCACAGGCAAAATAATCGATCCACACAAATTTTCGATGAATTTCAATCGCAAATAACTTTTTATTTGATGTCGGATTTAAACGAATATTAAAGAATATTGTAGATAAATTAATGGACAATCGCTCACATTTTAAAAAATTACTAAAAAATAGACGTAAGTTTATAATATACAGGTTTAAACAAAAAGATGTTTTTACCATAAGTTTAAGACACTCTGTAGAGTGGCAAAACCGTATATTGTTCTAAATTAAGTTTTATTTATCAAGTCACATCTATTCTTAACACTTTTGTTTTTGGTTCACCTCGATATATTTATTTTTGTGGAAAATATGGATTTTTAAAAAAACATTGCAATTTCCAATATTTTTCTGTATGAAGAACTAAGGTTGCTATGGAGAATGACAGTGACAGTTTTGTGGAATCATCCCATACTTGGACATGGCTTTCAAAAGCTATCAAATTGTTTTTTGCAAATTAAGGTTTAAATTTTGAGGTGTCTTCTTACTTTAAAAAATGGATATGTCTCCGACTGATGTTGCCAGAGCCATTAATTTAATCCAGGATGGACGGTCACAGTATTACGTGGCAAGTGTTTTAAACGTCATAAGAAGTAAAGTACAAAGGGCAACATCAGTCGGAGACATTTTTAAAAGTAAGAAGACACCTCAAAATTAACACAGTCATTTACAAAAAATAATTTGATAGCTTTTGAAAGCTGTATATACATGTCCACGTATGGGATGATTCAACAAAACTGTCACTGTCATCCTCCATAGGCTATGGATGGACCATAGCAAGCTTAGTTCTTCATACAGGAAAAATATTGGAAATTGCAATGTTTTTTTTTTAATCCATATTTTCCACAAAAATAAATATATCAAGGTGAACCAAAAACAAAACTGTTAAAAATAGATGTGACTTGATAATTAAAACTTAACAATATACAGAGTGTCTTAAACTTATGGTAAAAAACATATTTTTTTTTATAAACGTACGTGTTTTTTTAGTAATTTTTAAAATGTGAGCGATTCTCCATTAATGTATCTACAATATCCTTTAATATGTGTTTAAATCCGAAATCAAATAAAAAAGTAATTTGCGATTGAAATTCATCGAAAATTTGTGTGGATCGATTATTTTGCCTGTGAGTGTATTTAAACTCTTTGAGCAACCTTTTAAATCAGAATTAAAAGTTGTGATTTTAACTGAACTCTTATACTTTTCTTATGGTGATTAAAACAAGCAAATTCGTATTTTTAAAGAATGCGAGATATTTGTTGGTAAGTTTTGTAATAATAGCCCCACCCCGCGGGGTTCCGCCTCGACTTAGCACGGACAAAGATGTGATCAGAAAAATCCTCGAACGGATTTACGGATGTTCCAGTGGGCCTTAGGCAGCGCGACATTCAACAACGCACACACACAAACACACCTAACCGAGGTACAGGCGAAGCACCGGCTGGTGCGAAGTGTCTTCGGTGGCGGTAACAGCGCGACGGTAGTTGATCGGCGGACCTCCGCCACAATGGCTTGTGTGACGGTGCGTGGCGACGAGCGTCGTCCACGGACGGCGACGACGTCCTCTTCATCCGCGATCAAGTGCTCCAGGTGCTGGTGTTTCGCTGTCACGTTGTGCTGTGCCTCGCTGTTTTGGATTCTTGATTCTGTTGCTGCCGGTAAGAAATAAATTAAATTTAATACGAAATTCTGAAGTGTATGTAATAACATTTTTCTTTAAATTTTAAGTACACTGAAAAAAATTTGTTGTAAAATTATATAGAAAATAATGGGTTATTATTAAAGACCGGATTTTAAGCATGATGCTTATTGCTTAATTTTTTGCTTTTTTTAAGGTTTTATGCTTTTTTTCGATTTCGTGCTTATTTAAACTTTTTTCCATATTTTTATACATTTTTTTTAATAAATTGTTTCGACTTTTAAACTCTATGTTAATAATATGTTAATATAAACTACACTATTTAATTCTAACTTCAAAATCTTACATATAGAAAACAAAAGTATGAAACTAAATTTATTAGAGTCTATGGAAATTAACAAATTAAAGGAAAAAAACTGATATTATTCTCAATGACCAAATTGATACCAATAATACCCGTTATTAAATTTATTTTAATATATTCAAATAGTTTAGTGTTATATAACTATAAAGATTACAGGGCATTCCCATAATTATTGTTCCTTTAATCTACCCCCAAAATTGTACTAAAAATGTTACCTGTTAAAACCATCATTTATATAAATAGTAAATTAATATAAGTTAGTATTCGATATGAAGAAGCTATTGTGTAGCGTGCTTTTTAATGTTTAGTTAAGATACACGATAGGCTACGGGGTTCTATTATTGTGCTTGCGCTTTATTTGCTGTACGTGGTAATTATTTAGACAATGCCAAAACAAAAGCCAACCATTGAAGAGTGGATTAGTGGTCACAAAAAATGGCAAAAAAATATTCATAAAAGCTCCATTGAGAGTACAATTTTTTAAAGACAGATTGCCTGATATTCCATTACCTCCAGAACCAATTGTAACAAGATGGGGAACTTGGCTAGATGCTGCCATGTACTATGCCGATAATTTTACAGAATTTAAGAGATTGTTACTTGAATTTGAAGGCACAGAAAGCAAAGCAGTTCAAGAATGTCAGGAAGTTGTAAAAATACCTGAACTTGCACACAATTTAGCTTTTATTAAAAGTCATTTTAAATTTGTAAGTCAGAGTATTCAGCTATTGGAAAAACAACAGCTACCTTTATTGGAATCCGTCAATGGTATTAAAAGTTTTGAAGCTGCAGTAAATACTATTCCAGGATCTATTGGTCAAACAATTAAAGAAAAATTGGTCCAGACTCTCTCGAAAAATTTAGGGTTCCAAACATTGAAAAGAATATCTATTTTAATTGGTGGGCAAGATTCCGATTTTAAAATGGATCCAGCCATTATCCCGAAATTTAAATATGCACCAATAACCAGTGTGAATGTGGAGCGAAGTTTTTCTGCATACAAAAACATTTTAACAGACAGAAGACATAATTTTACTATAGAAAATTTGGAGAAACATCTAGTTATACATTCCTTTAGGTCTTAATAATAGATATAATGTAAAAATAATAAAATGTATCATTTAAATAATAAACACCAATATTAAGATTATTACAACTTTTTTGCATCTATATATTAATTATTTTTTAATTAACTTGCTTATTTGGTGCTTTTTTGGCAAATTTCATGCTTTTTAAGAGCTTTTTATTTAATATTTTGATACTTTTTTAAGCACTTTTTTTTTAAAAATTGTGCTTATTTATCCGGTCTCTAGTTATTATTATTTTCCTTGTAAAATTGCATTTGTAATTTAAAATTATTACAATATTAATGTAAAATTCAAAATTGTAAAATTACAATAATGTTGTAATGAATATTTTTTTACAATTTTATTGTAAAATTAAAAATTGTAATATTACAAAAAAATAGTACTTTTGAAAAATTTACACATTTGATGTAAATCACATATTGTAAAATTACAAATATCGAATTAAGGGTTTTTTCGCCTATTGTATGATTGAAAATAAAACAACATGCTAATTACTTTATTTAAAACTTATTACAACTCTTCTTTAAAATTGTGCAAATTTAGGTCTGCTTTTAATTTTTTATTATTTTTATTTTTGTATGTATCTACCACAATAATAAAAATTAAACACAGACCAAAATTAACACAATTTCAAGGAAAATATGACATAATTTTTATATACCCAACTAATTAGTATATTGTTTTATTTTTTAATCAAACAATAGGCAAAAAAAGGAAGTTAGAGTTTTGATTGGTCCGGTAAATTATAAACGAGAATAATTTTTGGTGTGTTCTATTATTATTTATATTAAAATACATTTAAGTTAAATAAAATAATTATTTAAATAAAATGGCAACTTATTAAAAGATTAAAAAATGGTAAATTTAAAAAGAGTATAACAAAAGAAAAACTCTTTAAAAGTGAAATTTTTTTTTTAACTTAAACAAAATTTACTATTTAATAAATTTACCATTTCAAATTTTTTTTTAATTTATTCATTTAGTTATTACTTTTTTATGTTTTAATTTTTTTTCATTTTCCACAAGTAATATCTTTGGATAAATTTCAAAACAAAAGAACCTTCAGTTGGGTATTTTAACACGTTCATGGACAGAACTGCAAATGCCGTCGGGCCCAATATGACACGACGGCTATAGCAGTCGCAATTTTCTAGCTGATTTATGACAAGCCTGCATATGCAGGCGCATTAAAAATGAGATCCATAGGAAGCTTTGCCATATGTGTCCTATGAGACCTCATGTATTTTTGGTTGCAGAATGTAGTTGGTTGGAAATTAATTTTTATCTGTTAAGCGCGATTCTTAACCTAAAATTCGGCCGTTTTTGTGACCGATTGTTGTTAGGTGGAGTAAAAATTTGATTTTTGTGAGGTGGAGTAAAATTTTGATGTAACAAAGCTAGTTTTTTTTTTTGTATATAAACAAAGCTAGTAAGTATAAGTTTTTGAACAATTATAATATTTTTTATCACTATATAACTTCTATAACTATATTTTTATCGTTAAAATGTTTTTTCTCGTCCTAAAAACGCAATTTCTTTTTATAAAATAAATTTTATATTATTTATAGGTATTTTATAACTTATAAATTATAAGTATTTATAGATATATATAGACTGTTGAGATTAAAAATAAATATTTAAATTTGAATCTAGACTTTTTGTCATTATTAAAGTATAATTTGTTTACCAGTGACTTTATACTACCATAATGGATAAGTAGAAATGAAAAAAACATGGACGGTTATTACCGTCATGACCCACCACACCTTTCTTTTTTGAAAAAAAAACTCACGGCTATAGCCGTCAAACTTTTTTAAAGGCCTTATACAGCCCTAAAGGCATCATCAAGTTACCGGTAAAATTTTTTGATGATAGGATAAAAGGTGTATGAATTATTCAAGTGACGCAGCAGGTCCCGCCAAAAATTTGTCTGTGTCCATCAACGTGTTAAATTTAGAACAAAATATAGTCCAAACATTAACTGCACATTGAAGCAATCTTTTTTTTTCAATATAAATATCAAGTTCTTTAGCTGCAACAGAAAAATATGTAAAGAAGTTTTATAAAAGAAATGTAAATATACACTTACCTATCTTTACAATACTCCAAACAGTCTAACTCATCATATTCTTCGTATACGGAATATATGGAATCTAAAATAGAATATTTATTTAGATAGGTGAGCACCTATATACACTATACTATATACTATACATATCCTATGATAAGTTTTTTTATATTTAATTTAATAATTATAATTACCTACCTTTATTTAAAAAAATATCGCTAAAAAGCATTTAACGCTTTGAGAATATTCAACATCACTGCAATGTGATTGTTTAATGTGTTATTTAAAAATTCCCTTAAACAATCTTTTCTGAAGCGTTTAAAAAGCGATTTATAATTAAATATATGATATTTTAAATAATTCTTATATCGAATTATTGCTTTAAATGGTAACTGACAAATATATTACATTTGTAAATCATACTTACCACAATAAAAAGGAACAAAACGGCACACGCTTTAACAAGGGACACGTTGTAACCAAAAAGACATTGATTCGATGCATACAAAGTTGTCGGAAGCGTCACGAGATATATATTTGATTGGTCAAACTTTACAATTAGTTTGTAAAATTAGTATTTTGCTTTATTTTATTGGTTATTTTTTTTACAAAAAACTTGTAAAATTAAAAAAGGATTAAAATAATACAAAAACAATGTAATTTCACATACAAAAAGTAAAATTCATAAATATTTTTATAATCATATAGTAAAAATGTTAATTTTTTGTAAAAATGACATAAATTCCTTGTAATTTTATTTTTACATGTATTTCATGATAAAAATACCTTGAAAAAACCAGATAATTTTACAATAAAATTACATAATTTTTTTTCAATGTAGGTAGGTAGGTAGGTAGGTATGTATATTAGACTGGGCCAAAAAAATCAACTATTTTTTTTTGAAAAGTATATCGAAAATATGGTTTGGGTTGACAAAAAAAAATTATTGTGAAAGTTTGAGTCCATAATATTAATATTAAGAGGTCTATCATCGCAATTTTAAATTTTTTTTCTTCAGCAAGTTTTTGTCTCAGAACTCCCAAACTATTGAGTTTAACAAAATTTTTTTGAGAAAATTAAATTCTCTACAAAAAAGGTTAAAATGAAATTTTCCGTCAGATGAACCGTTTCCTTAAAATCATGCCTTAAAAATTGGTATAGTTTTACATTTTGATCTTTTAACTTTGGAATTTTGTAATTCATGTAAAAATCAGTACCCAGAAAAAAACCGATAAATATTCTTATGTGAAATCAAATGCTTTACAAAAAAAGCCTCTTAACATTTTTGGCTAAATTCACTCAATCAAAAGTTATTGAAGGTTAAAGTTGAAGTCAAAACGAAATATTTGTTTTTTCCTCTGTAGATTTATTTTTTTATGGGTGATAATTTGATTTTTTTTTTATAAATGTGTATTATATAACTAATTAACAATTTCCAATAAAAAACAACATGATTGTTATTATTTAAACGATTAAATAGGTGAACAGTGAACAAATAG